AAAGGGTATTAATTGGCCGGCTATCTTCTCTGGCCAATTAATACCCTTTTTAGGCCGATTTCTACGATTTATTCACCCCGCAAAAGAAGTCTGGTGAAGACTAATGAGAAACGTTGTGGAGAACAATTTAACACAGACAACAGCAGATACATGCTTAATTCCAGCTCTTTATGTACAAAATGCATACGTAAGAATGTGTATGTAACTTGCTGTCAAATTATGCAATATGATATTAGAAGCCTTTCTATGATTGTTCAGTGGCTTGACACTCAAGACAACCACCATCAGTATGCCACCCATGTAACTTAACAGAATGAAGACCAAGTAAATGTTCGAATACAAGTGCCAGGTATAGATATAGATACATATATAACTATGTATATATACGTTCTTTGAATATCACTTGTATGCAGTACGTACATAATAACACATTTCTGCAAATAAACTGGGTTTGAACATAATTGCTTTGTACAGCCCTTAACTGAAAGATCAAGTTTAACAATTTATGTTTAAGACAAGGAAGTTTATCTATGTATGAAAGACAGTACATGTGAGATTGCAGTGAAAAAAAAACAAGCAGTTCGATCTAAAAAATTCTAACAAATTAAAAGAGGAAAGTCGTGACAAGTCTGACTGATATACAGTATAGGATTAAAACCCTTCACTCCTCATTCCATCTAATACCTTGAACAAAATTATTACATTTTAGCTAAGCCAGAAAAGCTATACAAAAATTGGAGGAGGCAGCATCTGCAAAAGCACACATACACTCACTCACACATTCACTCACACATTTCAGGGGAAGCGTGGACAATTATACGTTTATCCTTTGAACTTCTCTTGGATTTATTCAACACAGTCACCGTGTTATCACAGTCAGGTTGCTGCTGTCAGCCCTGGCACAAAGTCTTGTCTGACTGACCTGTCAATCATTCTCTTCAAGTAGGGGATTCCCTATGTGGTCATCAGCGGCTAGCCCCAGAATGCATTGCACACGGTAACCCATGGCAACCATGTTTAAAGAGGAAAGGTTGGTGAAATTAAAATGACTGGCTTTGAAATGTGATTTAGTACAAAGGGGTAAGAGAATTTTCTAGAAATTGCACTGTGTTCTTTTTTTTTTCAAATTTCTGCCTGGGTTGATTCAAACTTGGTAATTTGCAACTTGTACCTGGGTTGACAGCATAGCAAAAAGAGAATCGATTTCTACAATCGTCACATAGAAGCAAGGACATTATAGTGTCCTTCATAGAAGGTAGTTCAAGTGCAAATACATTGTGAGCCTCTTGTGGGCTCCATTCCAAGTTCAAAAGCGATTACAATAATATCCCCTGAGCATAGCTAGCCACATGTGGGGTCAGTTGCAAAACACTGAAGTTTCCATACATTCATTTGTATGTCTGCTTTTAGGCAATAAAGAATAAACTTCTATTACATTTCAAATTCAACACTTGAGAACATAAACTTGAACAGGGATGAGGAGGGCATACAGCAAGGATTTTCTTTCAATAACTTTCTCTGAACGCAATCTTTAAAAAAGGAAACTGTCCATCAGAAACACAGTACTGATGTTATAAAAAGTGCCATGCCATATGCCCCCCACACCACTCCACAAGATTTACATTGGTGAGTGCCCACACAGTCAATGTTTTGCAACTTTCCCGCCAAAGCAACACAAACACATGATGGTTGGGTGGGAACGTACCCTGTGGTGACCTCTGAACTTTGACCACTGAATTTTCAAGACCTGACAAGCTTTTAATTCCTTCAACCACACCAATTTGACTTGTTAGAGTTCTCGGATTTTATATAAAAAATAGCATAACGAAAACAAAGCCTGAGGACCAGGTTTATATCAATTTCAAGTTTTCCTTTTTGCAATTTGAAATTCCTACGAACCAAGGAAATAAAATTGGTGTGGCCTTAGGATCAGCCTAAGCGTACTAACATTGTTCATAACGTTCATATGTTAACCTTCTCCCTGCTACCTAATCCTGTAACCAATACAAAATTGGTGTTGAGAGGCTATTTTAACCAAGAGAACGTTAAACTAATGAGCCTGGTGCCATACTGCAATGTTTTCGTCTTCTGCTCAAATATCTCATATTTTCTCCACTTCTGTTTACTGTTTTGCTACATATTTTTTTTGGTTACTAATAATAAAAATATCCATGAGAAAGTTTTTAGCTGTTGTAAAATCAAATAAACTGTTCCAAGTTGGTTTTCCTTCTGTTTAAAAATATAAAATCGAGTGATTTAGACTATAAAACCAAGGAAGGGAGTTTTAAAATGCTGTGTGTTGTCCACACATTTCACACACAAAGTTCTAGAATGCAAAAGGACTGTTCAATACAGATTTCATACAACCCACTTCAGATTCTTCTACGATGCTGAAATTTTACGTATGATGAGAAACGAAACTTGACAGTTTTCAGCCCTTAAAATTTATTACATGTATCTGTGTTAAGTTTTTCTTTGTTCTGAACAATAGCTGGAAGTAGGTCATGCGAAATCTGAACACAGGTCGTGTTCATTAAAAAATCTGAGAATACTTTTCCAAAATTAACAATGAGAAACAAAACTTGACACACTTATTAGTCTTTCAAAATAGAATATCTGTGTCAAGTTTTACCTTGTTCCGAACAATAGCTGGAAGTAGGTCACCAGAAATATGACTACACGCTGTCTTTCTAAGACAAATTTTCCATAAACGAAGAGAAACGAAACTTGACAGTTATTGGTCTTTCAAAATCTGATATCTGTATGAAGTTTTTCTCGCCTTGTTCCTAACAATAACTGGAAGAAGGTCATGCTAAATCTGTATTGAACTGCCTTTTTTCCTACACTTTTTTTACAATTTAAGCTAGGAAGAGTTTCTAAGCCTACAAGCTGCATGGCTGAAGAATATTAAACCTGAGATGAGTTCTGATTTTGTTTGATTGATCGAACGCACAAGAGCGTCGCCCGGTTTACATCTTAATAGTTTCTTTCAGTGACAACTACACGAATACTGTGTTTTAGAACTGTTGAACTTTTGGACGAAAAGGCTTCGAACATGATCATGATCCCTGCCGTGACACACATACATATATACACACACACATACACACGATGCATGTGCACACACACGCACACATTCATACACACGTTGGAGGTAACAAGGACTGGGGGGTGCTCGTTAACGAATTAGGACTAACGAACCACCGCACAGGGTACAATACCACACAAATCATCATGAAGTTCTACAACATTAATATTACATTCATCATCATCATCATCATACAAAATACAATTTCTCCAACCCTACCACACACTACAGCAGTTTCATAAATCCTCTGATATTGTCTATTAATTTACACATAGCTAATTAATGTTCATGTTAATTGTCTTAATTAGAGTTTACATATCTGTTGTAGTATGGCATTTCCATCATCATATCTTACTGTTAGTTAATAACTATCATCTGTTTATACAAGGAAATTTGAAGGAAATTTTTCCAACAAAATAATTCAAAATCTTTCTACATAATTCTTCCAGATTTTCTTTACCTCGTAACCCAAAACCAAAGAAAGGCGCATCTAACTATTATTTTTCCTTGCTGTAGAATATACCATTATTAGGACGGGGGTGGTAAGGTTGCCCCCTCACAGACAGAAGCAAGTTATTATACAGCACTTTTGGCGTCCTAACACATACATTAACAGTTTTCCAAGCTGTGAGTTTGGCAGTGTTACAGGTAGTTTATCGGCAGAGAGCTGCTAGTATTTCGAGACTCCACTATTCATTTTTCTTACCGACCTTTTTCAGAAACTAGGCGGTAAATAAGAATGGAACGGTCCATATGCATCCTTGTGGCACCGCTGCCTTATAAGGTAAGCTTACCACATTCATGCACGTACAGGTAGAGGGCAGTGTGGGTATTTCAAGTCCACCACTTCCCAGGGTGCATTTCCCTGAGTTCGACAAATGGAAGATCACATGTGTTTTACTTGGAATGTGATAACCCATAATAGGCTGGCCAGATCGTGTTGCACTTCACGACAACGACAACAACAACAACAACGAGGTGGGTCGTTGGAGAGACAAAATTTACAAAACGCTATTATTATTATCATAATTATCATAGAAAACAGTGATTGAGTTTTCCACGTGTGGTGGAAATTGTCTAGGAGAGAGTTCGGTCACTCGAAAAAAGCTGCGTCGGTTTTCTTATCATCATCACCATCACATTAGCCTAGCACCAATACGTAAGAAGCTTTAAAGCACACTAAATCATGCACACATCTCTTTCCTCAGGGTCCAATGCAATACAACTTCCTCGCTTCTCCTTTACACTACAGTATATTACACCCGTATTCCTTTTCCTTCCTTCAGAGGCAGATTAACGACAGTTTCGTACAGTCTTTCTAGCACCGGAGCAGCGGCGGGACCGCGGCGCGACACCGCACCCCGCGCGCTGCGTAAAGACCTTACCCTACAATCTGTAACGTTGACACTGGACACAAACACCCGTATCTACTCGCTTCCGTACAAGCTCGGAGCGAAATTTTTCAGAGGTCGACGACACTACGGTAGTAGTAGTAGGGTCGGGGTAGACCTATACCTCCGGCGGAGGCGCTACTTCCGCACTGTCCTCTACCTTCTCATTCTTTAGCTCGGATTCGAGCGGCTCGCTCGCTGGCTTGCCTTGGTTCTCGACTACGCTATCTAACTGGTTTTGTCCCTGCGGTTGCACCGCCGCGACGTCTTTACTACTATTCCCCTCCAGTTCCAGTCGCAGTTGTTGGTTTTCCGCGTCCAACGCCGCCATTCTCTCCTTCAACTCCTCGATCTGGGCGCGGAGTTTCGTCTTGGACTTGTTGACGTCGCCGAACTTCTCCAGCCGCTTGCTGCGCACCAGCTCCAGCTCCCGCTTCAACCTCTGCTTCGACTCGTTGGTTTCGCGAAGCTTCCTCTCGTGTTCCACGCGCAACCGCTCGATCTCCTTGCGAAGGTTCCGTTTCGCCTCGGCGGCCTCTCGGAGCTTCTCTTTCTTCGCCACTCGGAGGAAGTCAAGCTCCTAGGGAAGAACAATCCCAGGAAATGTCAGCATTGTTACAAAATCACCTTAACAGGAACAGCAAACCAATTTGATTTCTTGGTTCTTAAAAGACCTTTTAAACCTCAGTCTGTGTGCCTAACACTTTTCCAGTTCAGTATTCTTTTCTTCTTTTCAGAACCAACAAATCAATTTGGAGTGGCCTAACAAAACCTTTATCACACAAGGAAAAAAAATCTATCATAACTACAATAATAAAAAAATTCAACCTTTTCTGCCACATCGTTTTTTTTATTTTTTAAAGACTTGTCTAAGTTTTAAAATTCAAACAAAATTTGTGTGTATTCGGTTAGTTTTAAACTGGAGTGCACTGTTCTGACATTCCATGTCAATCTTATGAAAATCTCAGCCATCCTCTGTTGGCGTTTCTAAAACAATGAGTCTTTGCGCCTTGCAATATCCTAAGTTACAAGAACAAGATTCCAACCCACCTGCTGCAGGCTCTTCTTGGCCTGAAGTGCGCTGTTGAGACGTTCTTCTTGTCTCATGCGTATCTTGGCCAGCTCGTGGAGGAGTTTCTCCTTGGCCTCCTTCCCCTCGCAGCCCCCGTCCAGCGCACTCCGCACCAGCTCCAGCTCCTGCTCCACAGTGCTGTCCAGCTCGCTCGCCAACTCCTTTCCCGAGCTCGTTCCCACGGGGATCATGGCGGCCGGCGGGACGGGAGCGGCGCTGAGGGCTGATACGTCCACCTCCGAGGCCATGGGCTGCTCCAGCGGTCTGGTTTCACTTGTCTCTGGTTGGGAGGCTGTAACGACAGATTCAGTACGGTCAATCTTTGTCAAACCAGGGCAGCAAAATGCAGGATGAGTATGCACTTATGTTTTTTTATTTATTTTATTCACATAGATTTTATTAGCATTAGATAGGAAGCACTTGTTGTGCTTATGTGAATCCGCTGCTCATAAAACATAATACAAATGTAAACATAAAGATGACATAAAATATAACATAAACATAAAATGAAAGTGGCTGGCGCACCAATACCTATAGCATAACATTAATGAGATTGGTCAAATCTTCCAGAGTGATGAATATAGTTGAACACAATATCAAAGATACGGCACTTATGTGCACCCAAAATTGGAGCTATGCTATAATTTTTGACTGCGGGTGCACCCAGATCATATTTGTGTAGCTAAAGGCACGTGTACATTGTGTATTGTACACTAGTAGTACCTTGGGTAGTAGTAATTCTAGTTTTCTTGATATGGTTATGTTTGTACTATTGTATCCAATTTATACCACATATTCTTGACATTAACGTGTTTGAAGACAATGTCAAGAGATACAACCTTTCTTATATTTGTTGTTAAAAGGTAGCGAAAGAATTTCAGATTCCAGCTTTGAAGAGAGGTTTGTAATTCTGCCTTTTGTTGTACGCACCTACATTTAACTCTTTGGTCTTCATCAGTGCACCTATTCACAAAATTAATATGAGGACCTTGGAATACATTGCTAATGGGAGATGAGTTTTGTACATGTGCACCTTACTTTCTGTTGAAACAAATGGTCTGCAATTACGTTACACCAGCTTTAAAGCATCAGACAGAAGAATTGTCGCCTAATTGAACCCCGAAGGACACGACCAAACATTGACAAATTGCTCCTGTTCCGTTATCACAAAGGACCAAGGATGAACTCATTTGTCACATTCCTGAAGTATCAGGGCTGTTACGATGGGAACTCCCATTTCAACTCTTCAAATTTCAAGTGCTGGTCTCGACTCAGCATTTCAAGATGGCACTGACCTGATTTACACAAACTTGATGGTACCAAATCTGCGTACGCACGCGTAATGTACGATCTGAATGCACATTCTTGACATATACAGGCCGATTTACATGCAGGAAAAAATTGATGTACGCAGTTTTTGTATGCTTGCGTGTGAACGCACTCCAAACGTCCGGAAGTAGCCGAAGTCATTCATCCAGCAGTAGAGTTTGAATTGCCTACGAGTGCCCACTGCTATCAATTCTGGATTTAGTTCAAGTACAGGAAGTTGCCTGCAAGCTTTGTAACGTCCTCTCTCGCCCTTTGAAGACTCCTAGCTAACTTTAAGAGTCCATTAGCGAGTATCCACATCTTCAAGAAGAGGCTACAGGAGTGTGTAGACATTACACACATTTCTTGACAGCCATGAACGAGACCAGGTACCTCAAGGTTGGAAATGCTGCTAAAAACTGGTGGCAGCGAGTTTCACTCTACGATAGTTTTAGAACCAAAAAACAGGGCGACTCAGAGAGTCCATTAGCAAATATCGATACTTCCATCTCTGCGAAGAATGGAAGTGAGCCTGTAGGTATTACAGGCATCAGTGGGACTGGGTATATCAGGGCCCGGGTATATCAGGGCGGTGGGACTTTTCCTTTGGGTTCTGTTCCACTCCCACGTTCCTCAGATATTGAGTTCAATTCCCCTGCTTGAAAAGCAGCCAGGTTGATGAAATGTCAAGATTGGAGGCATAAATCCATCTGCTTCTCGCAGGGCCTTGCTAATAACATCTGTACGTGAAGGTGCGAAAATTAATTTCAGTAGAGAACGCAGCACTACAAAGCTCCTCAGGGCATATCTAGGGCCTGACAGGTTTCTAGTTAGTTTCCAGATATCGCTGCATCGCTAGGGCCAAACAAAGTCGATCTCTTGGTTCTCAGACACATTCGTGATAAAACTGAGCAAAACGTTGACATGAAAACAGAAGGTTTGGATGAAAACTTGCAGTTTCCATCAAGTAGTATATTCTACTTACTTTACTTCATATATATATATATATATATATATATATATATATATATATATATATATTAATATATTAGTATATTCACTCCCTGAAACTGTGTGTGCCAAGGTACAGACTCTCCCCTCTACTCACACTCTGTTTTTATGTTGATTTTATTCTTCAGCATTTTTTTGTCGAATCCGATAAATAGGAAACCAAAGTTTCAGGGAGTAACTTTAAGCCTGGGTACCATCCTGGTTAGTTTACATTCCGTTCTGATAGTTGGTGGGCTACCCAGGCTCAGTGATGTTCTTCCTCCAAGCCTCCTGTTTCTAGTTTGACCTCTTGTTCAATTTTTCCTAAGAAAAAAAATGTAAGAGAACCAAGAAATCCACTTGGTATGGCCTTCACGCAAGTTTCAAGCTGGAAGTTTTCACAGAAGTCCTGTCTCACCGGAGACCCTTAACCAGCAGCTCACATGACGGCTGCTCATTTATCATTCTTAAAGCAAATCCCTCAGACATCAGACAAGGTGTGACGTCCATTCGTCTTCAGGTATATAAGGTATCCGCTAAGACATCTAATTCCTCAGTGAAGTTTTTGGGTACCTAAAGAATTATACCCGAGTCTTCACTGACTCAAAATTACTTCTCAGTACCCGCGAAGACATCTAATACCTCAGTGAAGTTTAAAAGTCTTTGGGTATATACATGTACACCCGAGTCTTCCTTCGCTGACACAAAATTACTTCTCAGTATCCGCTAAGATAATCCAATTCCTCAAGTAAGTCAATACGTCTTCAGGTACATGAGGAATAATACCCGAGTCTTCACAGACTACAAAATTACTTCTCAGTATTCGCTAAGACATCTCATTTCTCAGTGAAGTTTAAACATCTGCAGGTACTTAAGGAATTATACCAGAGTCTTCCCAGACTACAAATTTGCAAGAAATCTATTTCCTCAGGTAAGTCCATACGTCTTCTGGTACAAAAGGAAGAACACTTCTTTCTCAGAAGACTCCCAAATAACTTCGCAGTATCCGCTGAGAGTTATAATTCGTCAGTGAAGTCCATTCATCTTCAGGTGCTTAAAGGAATTCACACCTGGTTCTCTGGAGACTTCTCAGTCTCAGCTAAGACGTCTAGTTCCTCAGGTAAGTTCATACTTCTTAAAGCCTAAGGCTTGTGTCTAAGCTGGTGTGTTACGCCGAAGGGCGGTTATACCTGCTATACCGCTACAGATACAGAAGGATGTACACACAAATCTTTGCCAAATTATTTCTCAGTATCCACGGAGAGAACTAAATCCACAGTGGAAACGACACAGGCGTTGAAAGTGAGAGATAAATAATTAGGGCGGGCTGAGTTGTCAGTGATGTACGAGCCCTGGCCGTCCTGTTTCTCCTGCCCACCTGAGATATGCAGGTAGGCTGCCAGGCTCGTCCATCACTGTCTCAGGTGAGACAGGTAATGAATGGAGCTGGGCACACCTGTGTGTGTGGGGGGGACACCACACCGGCAGAGCGTACTGCACCTGCGCAAAACCGTCTTGTGTTTCAGCAGAACATCTCATATATAGAACTTTATTGCACGACAATTGCACAAGGTACAATGTATAGCAAACTACATAAAGAGAGTAACAAACAATAAAATAAATGTTGGATAAGACCTAATGTCGAATAAAACCTAACATATCTTAATTATTCAAACAGGAAGGGCTAGCACAAGTCTTTGATAAGTGTTACAATCGAGTGCTCATATAAGATCATATTTGCGCATATAAGGTTAACACTCCATCTGTAGCTTCTAAATGTCATACCGGAAAAAAATATCCTCTGCAACTGGCAAAATTCTAAAGCAACGTTGACCAAAAACCCAATGAAAGTCGTGAAAAAAAGGGTTTTTGCGCAGCTGCAGTACGTTCTGCCTAGAATGTGCTATGTGCAATTTCATCTTCTTAGAATAAGCAAAGGCTCAAACAAACATTTATAGATTTGGTAGGACTCTAATTATGTAACCTATAAGCTATACTTTGACCAAAGTCTGACTCTGACCTCTTCCCTCAAAGAAAAGCAGCCAGCAGGACAATTTTAATGAAAAAACAAATAAACAAACAAACCTGTTTGCTCTGTTTCCTCGGCGCTGCCTCCCTCTGACTCCAGCTCTCTCTTGATCTCCTTCTTCTCCCCTCCCGTTGTTGACGAGGTCGCGACCTCTGCGCCGTCCTCGACCTTCACGGCGGTCTGCGCGCTGGCGGTGAGCTGTCCGCTCGTCGGCGCCAAGGCCACGTTGGGGGGAACGTAGTTCTCATATCTGCAACAAACCAAGTACAAAACAGTTTTACTGACAGCGAATGAAACATCTTCATTTCATGTTCTTGATCACACAGACTACGTGCAGTATTTGAAAGAGAGACTTTCCCCTCAGACTGTCTTTCTGTTTATTGCCTTTGCCAGAAGGTTATGGTTTTGGTAGTGTTTGTGTGTGTGTGTGTGTGTGTGTGCGTGCGTGTGTGTGAGTGTGTGTGTGTGTGCGTATGTCTGTGTGTGTGCGCGTGTGTGTGTGTGGCTTGGCACGATAACTCAAGAAGCTATGGAAGGACTGTCATGAAACTTGAAGGTGGGTAGCCAGGTCTTGATGACACCTCAAAATGATTAGAGTTTGCACTCCCTAGCGGCTTGTTATGGTACTGCAACGGGAGTCCCAGTTTCGATACCTCATGGTAGCCCCTTTAACTTGAAAAAGTTGATTTCCAAGCAGGCCCAGGAATGTCGATCTCCCAGTTCAGCGTTACCCTTTCAATTCAAGAACCGACCAATTCAGTGGCGTAATGGAAACATCACTCTTCTCTCAAAATGGGTCTTCCCGTCAGCGGTTGGCATGGCAACAAGGACATTAAGTCTCTCCCGAATAACTAGGTTGTCTGCTCAATGTCTGGATATGGCCATAAATTGCCCCCTTTGGGGCTTAACCAGGACTGGTGATGTATAGTAGCCAGGCCGGTGGGAATATGGTTCAACCAGAGTTCGGCCGTAACTCACACGTCCTACCCAAGTTGCATTAAATATGTCTGTACTGCCTGCGTCCAAAATTCTAAGGCCACACCAATTTTATTTGTTGGCTCTCATATCTTTTAAATATATAATTCTTTTTCCATACCTGCACTGGTGTAGGTAACATTGAAAATTTCCTGCACGTGACAAATTTAACTGCACTACTGAGAATTTAGAAAGTATGGATCACACTAAAACTGTTTTCAAAACCAACTGGCATTATGGATCTATCTTAAATACTTCATAGGTGGTAACAGTCAATGCAGCAAACTGAAAACCTAGTACTAGAGACATAAACCCAGTACATGGCCAGGTTCTTGGTAGTCCTTCGTAATGAAAGATGACTGTCAGTGTCCTCATTTGGGGGTATTTCGAGACATGCAGTCATATTCAAATTAGTTTTCCTCATTGCCGACATTATGATGTCTGCTTGCTGTATTTTCTCCTTAAAATGTCCGAGAACCAACGAAAGAAATTGGTGTGGCCTAATGGCACAATAATGAGAACATGACGTACGATGCATAATGGGAACGACTGAAGTCACGAGGGCAACAACGATGGCTGATCGGCTCAGAAAACTAGGACAAGATAACCCTCATGTTGTAGCACAGATCGCTCTGATTGGATAAGCAGTTACAACTGGCAATTTGTGGGGCAGGAATTCAAATCAATATCGGGGAAATGGAGGTCATTGCACGGTCATATCGCTGTGCGGAAAACACGTGAAAATGGGGACATGAAATACGACGCTAGAAGTGAAATCTGGCGCAAGCAACTCTGTTCAGTGTTCCAAGGTGCATAATTTTCAACTTAAGAATTGGAATTCCCCTAAAAAGAACAATTGGAATTAGCCCATATACCCAGTACATGGACCAGTGCAGGTTAGGTGCAGGTAGTCATCAGAAATACCTGCACAGCTCCAATTTTACCTGTACTAACCTCAATATACTTTGAGCAAAGATTTCTGTTCAAATAATGACATGATGCATATGATATGATATGATGTGATGCATATCTACTTGTACATTTCACTACTTAACCTTTTTAATGCTGCCAGACCCAATATCCAATGCAAATTTGGTGCCAAGCGGCTACCTTAGCAGGCTGAAGGTTAATGTGGATGCATACCATATACCTTTCACGAGTTCTACATCTACTTAACCTTTTTAATGCTGCCAGACCCAATATCCAAAGCAAATTTGGTGCCAAACGGCCACCTTAGCAGGCTGAAGGTTAATGTGGATGCGTACCTGCCCATGCCTGCGTAGGGTACCACTCTCTCCGGGTGTAGGAGCACCGGTGGTCCCGAGCTCAGCAGAGGTGGCGGCAGCCTGACAGAAACACACAGCACACAACTTGGTTGATATTGTGAATATTGTTAAGCTCATTTTACGCACTTATTTAGTTGTCTATATGTTAAATGTGAAATATTTGTTTCTCTGTTTTTAAACACTAGCATACAATTCAGCGCTACTTTTTTAGTTGCGCTGCCACATGCTAGAGATTGTACTCATCGATCAATCAATAAACAATTATTATTATTATAATGTTACAGAGACAACTCCACAGACTTTGTATATACACAATTTATCTATGGCCTGCCTAAAATACATTAGGAACCAAACAGAAAAAAACAATCTGGGTTTAGGAATTTACATACCCAAGTTACAATGTAGCATGGAAATTTTACTTGGCTTGAAAAAATGACCTTCTGAAATGCTACGTCCTAAATCTTCAATTTTCAAATGACCTCTTGTGATTGTGTGAACGTTCTATATATGTTGATAAATTAACCCAAAGAAAATGTCATGATTGTTTTTTGATCTATGTCCATCAGTGTTGACATTTTTTAGAAAATTCTGTGTAAGAATCTAAGGACAGATGCTGCATGCACTAATTCCTCTCCAGCTGTGTGGAAAAGCCTATCGTAGAAGGGATTTCCCCAAACTAATCTGGCAAATTCGTCTGGAGTACAGCTTAGCCTCACTTAATTTATCTTGTTGGTTCTCGGATTTTTACAGGTTTTTACAGATTTCTCAGAAATTTACAGTGATGGAAGATCGAGGGGAGAGGGGCGAAAGACCGAATAATCTGATGATTTGATAACAGTAATGATAAGGTCATGGTACAGAATTGATGTTAAAACAGTAAACATATAAATACTGTGAAAAAATCAGAAATTACAGTAGTCAGATGCAAGTTTTTCGTCAGTTTTCATCTTATTTTGCTCTAAATGTCACAAACCCAAAGAAATAATTTAGGGCGGCCTAATCACAGAACAATCTTCTCTGTACTAATCCAGTAACGTTGTCTGGAGGTCAGTTTACATTCCGTAGCTAATGACCTTGCTCCCATTCCTACATTTCCTCTGACCTCCAAAGTTCCGAGCTTACTCTCCACGACAATTCAAAGGGAGGAGCCACTCTCAGTTAAACAGGTTGAAATACCGCGGGGCGGCGATAGCCAAAATAACCGCCTCAAAGACAAAACAACAATCCAATGTCTGTGGTGTTCCCTGACAGAGGAATTAGGCCAACTCACGCTATCAGCTACCAGGAAGCTGACTCAGTGTGTTTTGGCTACGGAAATTATCAGGAGACAAAACAATGACACCACCTAGACAAAATGGTTGCTCAGGATGGTACATGATAAGATATGCATTCTTGTCTAGTAGGAATGTAAGATGAAACAAAATTGTCCACATTTTCTTTCAGAAAAACATATCATCTGTCACGATGGCAACATTATCATTTCCAATGCAAAACAATGTATAGCTTTGTCTTCTGATCTTTAGTAGAAATAAGAAATTGCATCTACAAGTGATGTATTTAATTTAACGGGTTTTGTAACACTAAAACAGCTAGCTTTTGAAGTGGTTGTTGCATGGAAAATTCAATAATTTTCAACAGGATACTCAATTTTTATCTCTGACGAATATTTTTCATATGTAGTTGTAAAGCACCAGATTTGAGAAAAAGGATGTACATTTGGATGCTATCTTTCAAAGGTGACATCATCACTTCCCGTGCACAACTGGCTAGGTGACCTAATTACCCAGGTAATTAGCATAATCTGGTAATCTAAATCTGCTAATTACGTTATCTCTGGAGGTAAACATAGTAGGGAAAGGCTAGTTACATCCCTGGCCAAGCTAGGTACTCATTTTCACCTGAGTGGAGTGAGGAAATAGGTGTAATACGGCTTCCCCAAGGACACAACAGTGGGGCCTACAGGGATTCGAACCCAGAACCTTTAGATTATGAGTCAAGAAGACCATAAGATGTCATGTCAGAATAGAGCAGCTTTAAGATGTTTTGTAAGAATTAAGAATCTTCGAGCTGTTACATAACAACTAAAATCTTACAGACTTTAAGTAAGAAAGAATTAAGAATCTTTAAGATATTATGTAAGAATTAAGAATCTTTAAGATATTATGTAAGAATTAAGAATCTTTAAGATATTATGCAAGAATTAAGAATCTTTAAGATTTATGTAAGACTAAAGAATCTTTTAGATGTTATGTAAGAATCAAGAATTTTTAAGATATTACGTAAGAATTAAGAATCTTAAGATGTTATGTCGGAATAGAGCATCTTCAAGGTATTTTGTAAGAATTAAGAATCTTTAAGCTGTTACTTAACAACTAAAATCTTTAAGACTTAAAGTAAGAAAGAATTAAGAATCTTTAAGATATTATATAAGAATTAAGAATCTTAAAGATTTATGTAAGACTAAAGAATCTTTAAGATGTTATGTAAGAAGTAAGAATCTTTAACTAAGCTGTTACATAACAATTAAAATCTTTAATACCTTCAGTAAGAAAGAATTAAGAACCTTTAAGATGTTATATAACAATCTTTAAGACCTTACCTCATGGCGACTCGCCCGTACAGATCCTTGGCCTCGGCCATGGACGATGGTGACCAGGGTCTGAAGGCAGACAGCCGTTGGATGGGCGTCAGGTGACCGTGGAGGGCGGTCCATGAGGATGTGATCATGGCGTCGTGACCCATGTACTTCAGCGAGTCCTCACTACGCGCTCTCTTGTTCGCTACCTCGTCTGGCGACCCCGACTGGAGAAACACATTTCAACAACTGTTAGAAATTTTATCCTTATAACATTTCAATAACTGTTAGAATCTTATTCACGTTTAGCTTGCAACTTTGTTACAAAAAACATTAACATTTTAGTTGAGACTTTTACTTATTTGCAAACTCATGCCCAAAGCCAAAACACATTTCCACAACTGTTACAATTTCATTCACGTTTAGCTTGCAACTTAGTTACAAAAAACAGTAACATCTTAGTTGAGACTTTTACTTATTTGCAAACTCATGCCCAAAGCCTTATAGGCAGTTTAACAAAAAATAGTCCTGAAAAGAAAGGTATGGAATGCAGGGACAGATCAGAAAGGATTGGGATGTGAAAATAGGGTACACACAATTTTTCAAGTTTTTTTTTTTTCTGTCAAGAGAAATCGACAGAACAGATCATACATGTGTAAGTGAACTCTACAAGGCTTAAAATACCTTTCTGTTTACCATAAATATGCTCATAATGCCAATTTTAATTTTTCCTACAATATCTTAGTATTTTTTTTTAAACATCACGTTGGTCTATGGAATTCAAACCCTGCTCTACAAGTCTTCTTTGCCTGAAGCTCCCAGTTCTATCTCCTTAAGTCGCAGGTATGCTACCAGTCTTATATCAACAAACACTAAGTCATTTCCATTAGGAACCCAGACAACAGTGTGATCCGACCCGCAAGTCAGGTGATCAGGGTCAACGAACTCACGAACTAATTCTCTTGTTTAGACTTGGATAAACGGATCTCCTTGGAAAGAAGAGAGACTGTCTTTCTTTCCTTAAGATGGTTCAGAGTTGTCCTCTTTACCTGTTTCCACCTTGAGAAGAGCTCAAGTTTCAGATAGGTTAAATGTGTCACTCCTTGAATAAGACAACTGCCTTCTCCAAAAACATACATTTGTAGTCCTCTTAAATTTACGCCAACATTTTTTTTCTAGGTGGTACTACTACTAGTACTAACTTGTTAGAGGAAGTCTTATGAATAATATCAATACAGTTGAATCAATAAATAATTCATAATCACTTTTCTTGTTACAGCCCTAACAGCCTTACATTAGTTATGTACACTTTATTTTTGTCAGGTAGAAAAACAATATTTTGGTATCTAGGCAACAATGACATGCTAAAATTGCTGTAATCTTTGTGCTGTAGTATTTGTAGGTCTTATTTTTAGTCAGAAAATGAGCATTTGTTTACTTAACCAGAACACTGTGGATAAGATTCTTATGCTTGTGTCAATAGGAAAAATTTTCTGAGAGAATGTCTACCATCAAAAAGTGGTCAGAATTGTCGGGTGGTCCTAATAATGTAAAGGTGGCCACTAATACATATGACTATATATCAATGACCAGGTGGTCCTTATGTAGAGGTGGTCACTAGTACAGGTTTGACTGTATATCAATGGCCAGGTGGTCCTTATGTAGAGGTGGTCACTAGCTATGGTTTGACTATATATCAATGACCAGGTGGTCCTTATGTAGAGGTGGTCACTAGTAAAACCACCAGGAACTTTTTACGGAGTAAAGTAGGGTAAGGTTCATGGACAGGTAACATAACAAGTACAGTGCAACAGTACACAGTGGCGTCCAGGGGCCTTTTGTACCCTCCACTGGGGCAGGGTTCAGGCACCCAAACCTGACGCAAACAACAACACCTGTCAGGGTTGTTTTTCACACCTGAGAAATACAACACTTGACCCGGGCACTGATTTACAGTCAACAGTCAAGGACGGTGGTCTACATACAGGGCTGGAAAAAAACACCCAGGGCTGGAAATAACATGTACACATGAGGTACAGGTAGAACTGGAGCTGTGCAGTTATATGTGAGGTATTATAGGAGTCATCACTGTTTTTGTTTACATCATTTACAAGCTAATTATTTGAGGTCATATGCAAATTATTTGTAGGCAAACTGCCCAACTGTCACTCGTTTTTGCCTACTACATGCTAGCAGTGACATCTTGGTGGTAGCTGATGTAAAATCTATATTTTGGCATTCTTTGGCTATTTTCAAACTAAACATGTAGATTTAGGACTCCTGTGTCCTAGCACTTCAACCAAATGACCAGATATTTGGCAGGGTGGTTCATTGAGCACATGTCAGTTTTCTTCTTGATGTTTTATGGATACCCTCATCTAAAGAGACTTCTTTGGGAATTTTGGGCTACTTCTTCAACAAAAACAGTCTATAACAGTCTTGGAGTAAGTGGTATGACCCAAAAGAGATTGAGAGAAAGTAAGTGGTTCGAGTAAAACTTAACGGGCACAGGTGATCTCAGTGTTACCTGTACAGGTATGTAGAAGACAGTATTTCGAGCCCTGAGTCCAGTGTTTTGCCGTGTTGTATTTGGAACAAGAGAGGAACCACAATACGCCATGTTTCTCCTTCAACAACTTCAAAGGAAGCAGACACGGACACGCTTTGCCGCATGTTTACACTCGCTATTCTAGACCTCCCCATAGACGTCAACACTGAGGCAGTCCAGGGCGGGGTAATCAATGGTTTAACGACCTCTCTCGCTAACGAAGGCTGAGACGTGTCACTTACACAAAGGGTGGAGCCTAACTGACCTCCGTGTTCTCAACATCTAGAATTTCGACCGCCTAAAGTCGTCAGCGCTAATACGCTGTTTTGTCTAACAAGTCCTACAGCTGTTTTCGTAGGGCGTATCTAGTATTAAATTTTGTTAGCTCTCAAATTTTCCAGAAAAGATACTCAGCTGGAAAAAACATAAGAAAGCCTGGGGACATGATTTATACCTCTGTGCACTCAGTTTTGTGGAGCAAAGATGGTCTTGTTCATGTTTTCCTCCCTGCCTTCTGCTTTTGTGATGTCTGCTTGCTACATTTTCACCCGAAAACTTCCAAAAACCGGGGAAATAAATTGTTGCAGCCTTACGTCTATCACTAACACCTCTGGCCCTTCTCCATTAGACGTCTGTGCTACCATATATGAGAAATCTACGTACGCACAAGACTTAACTAGCAGCACCGCTAGCACGCCGTGTGAACGCTAGTAACCGGTCGTTTGACATTTAGAACATCTATTGACCTAAATGTACATGGTGTGGAAGGAAGGCATAGCCCAGTACAATAACAGTATAACAGCCTTGCTGTCACTGCAAGCCAGCCCCTCCCTGCCTTGGAGGCAACACACACACATCAATGCCTGGCTGCTAGCCAACACGTAGACGCTGCCAAAAACAGGCCGCAGCACAGCAAAACACATTCTTGCCCAGGCTGCTGTGTGGCCTCGGTTGTTGCGGGTTCGCTGGCATTCAAACTTATCTCACCGCTATGCTTATAGGCATAGACAAGAGACCTCAGTACCACAGAATGTAATCTATGTTGTGCTTGTAGCAATCACAGCTGTACATTACATGTTGTATGGGGTAAACCGGGGAATGTTATGGAAAAGGATGCACCTATCATCCTTCTAAGCATGAAAATTGATACAAAATTCGAAATTCCTTTTTTTCTAAATTAGTGTACCATCGAAACCTAACTAGTTTTTTTTTTTTAATTTGCAACACAACATGAAAAAAGAGTTGAGCATCAGTAAAACCTATATTAACCTCAATTCTGACCGAATCTAACTTCAAAACTGTAAACAAGTGACTTTTTTTAATGACATTTCGAAGACAAGAACATACATGGTTAGCCCAAGCCCTGAGCACTCTCTAACCAGACAACACCAGAGCCCTGACCACTATTTAACCAGACAACACCAGAGCCCTGACCACTCTCTGGCCAGTGTCCAACACAAAGACACCTGTTGGCCTGGAGTTTGCCCTGACCTGCATACCACTGCCCCAGCCACCCCATCACCCAGTAAACAACACCACCAGTCTGCCGAGGGAGGGACACCCGGTAAACGGAACAGCCCACAAGCCTGGAATAGATCTGGGAGGACGGCTTCCAGTTGCTGCCTTCTGGTGTCATGTAAGGTTGGGAAATAATCAGGTTTTGTCACTGCTGTTTTAGGAAGAGACATATCTGCTTCATATCTTGGGCCATGCCAGTGTAATGTTATGGTTCTCAGATAATTCTAAGTAGTTTCGTGAAAAAGCATCACATGAGGATGACCATACAAGAGAGAGATAGCGTAGACTTTGTACCTTTTTGTGGGTTGGATATTTGTCTCTGTTATTGCCAAAACGGGGCCTGACTTGGCATGTTTCCCTGTTCCCGTCCCTGACTGTGACCAGGGAGGCCCGAACACGCATGCCTCTGTGCCTGCCAGTTAAATTTGGGTAAAAGGTGAGGTAGAAGCCATGGCTCAGTCAATAGTGACCTGTGCAGACTGGCCCTGTAAGGTCCAGCTGGCCTTCACATAACAAATATGGGCTGCTGTAGCCTGGATATCAGACTGTTTCCAGGACCTACTGTAGCCTGGCTACCAGACTGTTTCCTGGGCCTACTGTAGCCTGGGTGCTAGACTGTTTCAAGGACCTGCTGTAGCCTGGGTGCCAGACTGTTTCCAGGGTCTAATAAACAGAGACTTGTAGCCTGGGTGCCAGACTGTTTCCAGGGCCTAACAAACATGGACTGATGTAGACTGGGTAGTCCAGACAGTTTTCAGGGTCTTCACAAGCTAGCTCCTTAGAAACGTCAAAGTATATCTGGAGTACAATTTCAACATTTTCTATTCAAAGAACAAAAAAAAAATTGTCACCTGGTATCATCAACGCAAAAGACAAAGTACAATTAACTTTATATTGCATTTCCAGCTCTGAAAATATTTGACAAGTAGGTAAAAAATATGTGTTTGATTTGAAGGTCAATGTCCCCAGTTTCCTGTGCTAGCGCTAGCATGTTTTTGTTCAAGGTCATTAAATGCCAATACAACTGTGTGCGTGTATGTGACATATCATTGCCCATGTACAAGCCTCGTGATGCTTTCAACAAGTTGTATTACAATTAGGCTGTTTCACCCCTGATTAAAAGCTTGATAACATTTAGGATGGTAGTACAAGTAGGACAGT